TTACGCCATTCTCCTGCCTCAGCCTCCCGAGTAGCTGGGACTACAGGCGCCCGCCACCACGCCCGGCTAGTTTTTTGTATTTTTTAGTAGAGACGGGTTTTCACTGTGTTAGCCAGGATGGTCTCGATCTCCTGACCTAGTGATCCGCCGGTCTCAGCCTCCAAAAGTGCTGGGATTACAGGCTTGAGCCACCGCGCCCAGCCGTTCTCTTGCTTTTTACTGGAAAGGTTTATATGAGTCTGTTAAGTTTACTTTGTCTGTGATATGGTTTGGATGTCCATGTTTCCAAACCTCATGCTGCAATGTAATCTTCAGTGTTGGATGTGGGACCTGGAAAGAGGTATTTTTGTCATGGAGGTGAATTCCTCATGAATGACATGGCACCATCGTCTTGGTAATAAGAAAGTTTACACTCTGTTAATTCAAGAGAGAGCTGGTTCATTGAAAGAACCTGGCTCTTTCACCTCACACCTTCTCTATCTGTTACCATGTGATATTTCCAGTTACTCTTTGCCTTCCACCATAACAGTAAGCTTCTTGAGACCCTCACCAGAAACAGATGTTGGTACACACTTCTTTGTAGTACAGTCTGCCAAATTGTGAGCAAAATAAGCCTTTTTTCTTTATAAATTATCCACTCTCAGGTATTCCCCTATATGCAAAATAACTGGAGTTGGCAATTTACTTCTAAAGGCACTATGTTATGTTGGAGAGCAGAAAAAGCCGTGTTGGGTAAATGTAACCATTATCTTTTCCTTCTATGTGGCTCTTTGCATTGGGCTCACCTGGGGCACTGCACACACTTATTTATAAATTTTTTGCTGATGCATTTTGATCAGTATGTTTTTGTTACATTTGTATGTCTATAAATAAATTAGGGCCTGTGGCATTTATCTATGATATCATGCTTATATAACTTGTATGATTTTATATGTTAGGTAAAGTATATTTATCTCTGAGTCTAACAAGTGGAATAATTTGTTATTTTTATTTTTTTCAGTTATGTGTTCTCATGTTGCCCCAGACTTTTGGCCAGAGCAGCATATAAAACATCCTTTCCAAAAAGTGACACTGAGAAGATATAAAAACTGTGGACATAAAAATGTACATTTAAAAAAAGACTGTAAAAGTGTGGATGAGTGTAAGGTGCGCAGAGGAGGTTATAATGGATTTAACCAATGTTTGCCAGCTACCCAGAGCAACATATTTCTATTTGACAAATGTGTGAAAACCTTTCATGAATTTTCAAATTCAAACAAACATAAGATAAGCCATACTGAAAGAAAACTTTTCAAATGCAAAGAATGTGACAAATCATTTTGCATGCTTTCACAGCTAACTCAACATAAAATAATTCATACCAGAGTGAATTTCTGCAAATGTGAAAAATATGGAAAAGCTTTTAACTGGCCTTCAATCATCACTAAACGTAAGAGAATTAATACTGGAGAGAAACCCTATACATGTGAAGAATGTGGCAAAGTCTTTAACTGGTCCTCACACCTTACTACACATAAAAAAATTTATGCTAGATACAAACTCTACAAATGTGAAGAATGTGGCAAAGCTTTTAACAAGTCCTCAGTCCTTACTACTCATAAGATAATTCGCACTGGAAAGAAGTTCTACAAATGTAAAGAATGTGCCAAAACTTTTAACCAATCCTCAAACCTTAGTGAACATAAGAAAATTCATCCTAGGGAGAGACCTTACAAATGTGAAGAATGTGGGAAAGCCTTTAATTGGCCCTCAACTCTTACTAAACATAAGAGAATTCATACTGGAGAGAAACCCTACACATGTGAAGAATGTGGCAAAGCCTTTAACCAGTTCTCAAACCTTACTACACATAAGAGAATCCATACTGCAGAGAAATTCTACAAATGTACAGAATGTGGTGAAGCTTTTAGCCGCTCCTCAAACCTTACTAAACATAAGAAAATTCATACTGAAAAGAAACCCTACAAATGTGAAGAATGTGGCAAAGCTTTTAAGTGGTCCTCAAAGCTTACTGAACATAAGTTAACTCATACAGGAGAGAAACCCTACAAATGTGAAGAATGTGGGAAAGCCTTTAACTGGCCCTCAACCCTTACTAAACATAACAGAATTCATACTGGAGAGAAACCCTACAAATGTGAAGTATGTGGCAAAGCCTTTAACCAGTTCTCAAACCTTACTACACATAAGAGAATTCATACTGCAGAGAAACCCTACAAATGTGAAGAATGTGGCAAAGCTTTTAGCCGGTCCTCAAACCTTAGTAAACATAGGAAAATTCACATTGAAAAGAAACCCTACAAATGTGAAGAATGTGGTAAAGCTTTTAAGTGGTCCTCAAAGCTTACTGAACATAAGATAACTCATAGTGGAGAGAAACCCTACAAATGTGAAGAATGTGGAAAAGCTTTTAACCATTTCTCAATCCTTACCAAACATAAGAGGATTCATACTGGAGAGAAACCCTACAAGTGTGAAGAATGTGGCAAAGCTTTTACCCAATCCTCAAACCTTACTACACATAAGAAAATTCATACTGGAGAGAAATTCTACAAATGCGAAGAATGTGGCAAAGCTTTTACCCAATCTTCAAACCTTACTACACATAAAAAAATTCATACTGGAGGAAAACCCTACAAATGTGAGGAATGTGGTAAAGCTTTTAACCAGTTCTCAACTCTTACTAAACATAAGATAATTCACACTGAGGAGAAACCCTACAAGTGTGAAAAATGTGGCAAAGCCTTTAAGTGGTCTTCAACCCTTACTAAACATAAGATAATTCATACTGGAGAGAAACCCTACAAATGTGAAGAATGTGGCAAAGCTTTTAAACTGTCTTCAACCCTTTCTACACATAAGATTATTCATACTGGAGAGAAACCCTACAAATGTGAAAAGTGTGGCAAAGCTTTTAACCGATCCTCAAACCTTATTGAACATAAGAAAATTCATACTGGAAAGCAACCCTACAAATGTGAAGAATGTGGCAAAGCATTTAACTATTCCTCACACCTTAATACACACAAGAGAATTCATACTAAAGAACAACCCTACAAATGTAAAGAATGTGGCAAAGCTTTCAACCAATATTCAAACCTTACTACACATAACAAAATTCATACTGGAGAGAAACTCTACAAACCTGAAGATGTGACAGTGATTTTGACAACACCTCAAACTTTTTAAAACATAAAATTAATTATACTGGTGAGAAATTCTAGAAATGTAAAGAATGTGACAAAGCCTCTACATGGTTGTCACACTTGATTGTAGGTAAGATAATTTATATTGGAGTAAACTTCTACAAGTATGAAGAATGTGGCAGAACTTTTAATTAATGCTAATACGTTATTGCACAGGAAATAATTTTTACTTGGGAAAAGGTGTATACACAAAGAATGTGGAAAAGCCATTAATATCTGCTCATATCTTACTCAACATCAGAGAGTCGGTACTTAATAAAACCATTATAGATGCAAGTAGTGTCAAAAGATCTTTCAGAAAATATAAGCCTTTAAAGTGAAGAAGAGAATTCATTCTGAAGACAAGCATTACAAATACAAAGAGGGTTGTAGTATACCATTACGTGTATCACAGATCTTATTGTACACATTTTGTACTAAAGAAAACTCTGAAGCAGTTGCTCAAATATTGTTCAACATCAGAAAATTTATATTGGAAAAACCTGGAAAATGTAATAAATTTGTAAAAACAGTTTTGAAAAACTACAGCTTATAAAACATGAGGGTTTATAGTACTTGGTTGATAGTACAAAGTTTGTTCAACATCAGGGAATTTATATTGCAGAGAAACCATACAAATGTAATCAGTTTGGAAAAACATTTTTTCAAAAACCACAGCATAGAAAACACCAGAGGGTTCATACTAAAATATATTTTTGCAGATGCAGTAAATATGAAAAAAATTTAATCCTAAATTAAGTTTGTGTAAACATCTGAGAATTCACAGTGGAAATATCTAAGGCATGGACACTTCAGATGTTACACTAAATCAGTGCTAAGTACAGAAAACAACCCAAAATAAAACTTGGTGGATAAATTGTATATAACATTAAAAAAGTAGAAAATTTTCAGAGTTATAACTACATTTAAAGTATACTTTTATCTTGAGAAAATTACTGATTTTTGAATTAGTGAATAATGACGTAATTAAACTCTCAAATAACTATGCTCTTTTTTCATTCCTGCTATATTCACATGTGAAAGCATGTGACCAATTGTTGCTGCATCAAAGATATGAGAGATTCTTTTATTAGGTGGGCATTATTTAAAACATTTTTTTATGGAACAGTAAGGATACTAAAATGTAAGATGTAGCCAGGCATGGTGGCTCACACCTGTAATCCCAGCACTTTGGGAGGCTGCGGCCGGTGGATCACCTGAGGTCAGGAGTTTGAGACCAACCTGACCAACATGGTGAAACCCTGTCTCTGCTAAAAATACAAAAATTTGCCAGGCACCTATAACCCCAGCTAATTCAAAGGCTGAAGCAGGAGAATCCCTTGAACCTGGAAAGTGGAGGTCTCAGTGAGCCGAAATCATACCTACCGTTGCACTCCAACCTGGGCAACAAAAGTCAAACTCCATCTCAAAAAAAAAAATGTAAGATTCATGAATTTTCATTCCTGCTATATTCACATGTGAAAGCATGTGATTGAAATTACATTTCAGTAATGAAATTACATTTTCAGTAATTGGAGAGGCACTTTGTGGTTAACTTATAAAGGAGTGATGCAGGAGGTAGGTTTTCAGAGTAATAATCTTCTGCATTATAGTGAGAAAACAAGTTTTTTATTATAGTTAAAATTGGTTAAATTAGTAGTAAATCATTTTATTATAATTTTATGTAATGAAGTATATCTTTTAACATTTTACATGTAAACATAACTTTTTAAAAACTGTGTTAAGACCATTGTGCATTCAATGAAACATTATGCTTCTAACTTTAACCTATTCCACCTTACTCAAGGGTGTATGTAAAAGATGGTAACAACATACTATTTGGTAACATAATGGACTAACATTTCTAGTAATCTTCATCAGTGGCTTTCAACTGCAAATAAGTTAAAGAATATTTTTTCTATAGGTTAAATATTCTTGTCTTTCTTAATTTCTGTGGATACATAGTATGATTTTAATTACCTTATTATTTGTGCTATTCATAATTTTTTTGTTTGGTTGCTTTTTTGGTTTTTTTTTTGGAGACAGAGTCTCACTCTGTCACCCAGACTGGAGTACAGTGGCACGATCTTGGCTCACTGCAACCTCCACTTCCCCAGTTCAAGTGATTCTCCTACCTCCACCTCCCAAATAGTTGGGATTACAGGCATCCGCCACCACACCAGGCTAATTTTTGTACTTTAGTAGAGATGGAGTTTCACCATGTTGACCAGGATGGTCTTGATCTTCCGACCTCGTGATCTGCCTGCCTTGGCCTCCCAGAGTGCTGAGACCACAGGCATGAGCCCCTGTGCCCAGCCAAATGTGTATATATTTATGCAATATATGACATGTTTTGATACAGGCATATAATATGTATTAGTCACATCAGGATAAATAAAGTATCCATTACCTTCAGCATTTATCATTTGTATTACAAGCCAATTCTACACTTTTCATTATTTTAATGTACAATTAAATTGTTATTGACTACAGGGTCATTTTAATTATAAAAATTATATAGAGTATAAATAAAATCCATACATTTCTGAGTCATGAATAAACATTGTTACATATTTTTCCTTGAATATGTGGCTGCTGTGCCTGAAACACAAGAGTTTTAGTTTTGGCTTACGTAGAGTTAAATATACACATACATCACTCTAAAGATAAACCTTAGGTGTAAGAAAATTATGGAGTAAGTAACTATTCTTGTGATTATGAGTTTGTACCTATTTTAGGAAGAAAAAAATCAATATTGAAGCAAGACAAGTAATTTTAGTAAGGTGACTAATTTACTAGAAAACTAAAAACCTCAAAAATGCTGAAAGGCAATCTGTATTGTCTGCTTTCTATTGAATTCATTACTGTAGGATTTTATGGCTTATGGTTCAGAATCTCCCCATGCAAACTTTTTTTTTTTTTAACTTGCTTGGTACTCATGCTAAACCCATAACTTTCTTTTTTATTATTTTTTCTTTTATAGTTTATGAGGTATTCATTATGTAAGCTCACCAGGGATTATAAGAATGATTTTTATGAAATTTAGTTGTGCACACAAAATTTTTAGGTGGAATTCCACAATTAGTGTTTTAAGTTATATTTAGTTAGGACATTCGATTTTGTTTATTTAATGGAGACTTCAATATAAACCTACTTTAGTTATTCATTTCACTTTCTATAATTGACATATGTAATTTTATTGAGCTAATAATAGGTAAATACTAGAGAGGCCTTATATGTTCTGAAGTTTTTTTGTTCTGTTTTGTTTTGAAACAGAGTCTCCGCCGGGCGCGGTGGCTCAAGCCTGTAATCCCAGCACTTTGGGAGGCCGAGACGGGCGGATCACGAGGTCAGGAGATCGAGACCATCCTGGCTAACACAGTGAAACCCCGTCTCTACTAAAAAATACAAAAAAAAACTAGCCGGGCGAGGTGGCGGGCGCCTGTAGTCCCAGCTACTCGGGAGGCTGAGGCAGGAGAATGGCGTGAACCCAGGAGGCGGAGCTTGCAGTGAGCTGAGATCCGGCCACTGCACTCCAGCCTGGGCAAGAGAGCCAGACTCCGCCTCAAAAAAAAAAAAAAAAAAAACAGAGTCTCACTCTGTCGCCCAGGCTGGAGTGCAGTGGCGTGATCTTGGCTCACTGCAACCTCCACCTCCCAGGTTCAAGCAATTCTCCTGCCTCAGCCTCCTGAGTAGCTGGGACTATAGGCACACACCATCACGCCCAGTTAATTTTCCTTTTTGTATTTTTAGTAGAGAAAAGGTTTCACTGTATTAGTCAGGATGGTCTCCATCTCCTGACGTGTGATGTGCCCGCCTCAGCCTCTCAAAGTGTTAGGATTACAGGCGTGAGCCACTGCACCTGGCCTTTTGAGGATGTTTCTATACATAAATGTAGCAAACAAGCATGACAGTGCTTGCTGTGTAACAGATTGTCCATAATAAGCCAAAAATATTTTTGCTGGAGGTAGTTTGTAACTTCAAGTCAGAGATAGAAAATATCAGTGATGAAGAAATAATATTGATTATTCATGTGGAGAGGACATTTTCCCCGTCTTTAGTAAAAATACAAAAATTAGCTGATCGTGGTGGTATGTGTCCGTAATCCCAGCTACTCGGGAGGCTGAAGCAGGAGAATCGCTTGAACCTGGGAGGCAGAAGTTGCAGTGAGCCGAGATCATGCCATTGCACTCCAGCCTGGGCGACAGAGTGAGACTCCATCTCAAAACAAAAAACTGGTTTTGTAAGCATCCTCAAAGAAATCTACACCTGTTTCCCAAATACTTGCAATTCAAAATTAAATTTCACAATCTTTTCACAAGAGTGGGTAGACAGCTTTTTTCTTCAAAGTGAGACCTGTACTATAAGGTCTTGATTCTAGCAGATCTGGCAGGTCTACCTACAAACCAGCATGCAGGGCTGTGTGAGTGGCCGCTAGGGCACACTGGTGGGCTGAGAAGGGCCATGGAGACATTTATGATCACCAGATACCTTCAAAGGTGCATTATCCAAATGCTAGGCTTCACTTCCTAATGAGTTCTAGCAGACTAGTGTTTCCACCAGTCCCTGACCCATGTCTTTTGAATCTCCCTTGCCCAGGGTCTTCACAGCTGTCCACTATGTATGTCTCAGTCTTTGCCGATAGAGGCCACCTAAAATGAGAGCAGAATAGACCTCAGAGAAAGCACCTAACAAGCCTACTGTAAGTATTTCAAAGAAAACCAGCTAATTCAGATTTTCTCCAAGGCTTGTCTATTGCAGCTTACTGTTCCTGAGAATGCTTTCTAAGCAGCAATAGATTTGAGAATGTTATTAGCTACTACTGTTTGTTTTCCTTCTAAGGTCCCACATTAACCAAAACCAAAATGAAACCAAAAATCTTCAAGTGTATAGCTTTTGTATATATGCCTAGCTGGCTAGCAGTAAAATTTGCACATTATATTGAATCTTGAATGATCTTTGGTGCTTACCAAGATGGCTCTTGGCATCAAACCCCAAAGACTTTTTTTTTTTTCCGCTCTTCCGTTCTTTTTCCAACGTCAAAATGTTGACGTTAAAATACATCAAACTACAGAGGGAAAAAAAAACCTTAAGTCTTCTAAAAATAATTATTTCATTTAGAAATCTGATGGAGGGTTGGCAGAGGGTCACCAGAATTCAAAAGAGGTTGAGTTTAATCCTCCAGCCCAGCCGTCCACATTTAGAAGTGACAACATTCATGAACTAAGTCAATATAATTTGCGCAGATCTTACCCAACAAACACTAAACTGCAAAAACAAACACTTGCATTTAGACTTATTTTTCTGAGATAGAGTCTTGCTCTGTCGCCAGGCTGGAATGCAGTGGCACGATCTCAGTTCACTGCAACCTCTGCCTCCCAGGTTCAAGCGATTCTTCTGCCTCAGCCTCCTGGGCAGCTGGGACTACAGGCGCATGCCACCACACCCAGCTAATTTTTTGTATTTTTAGTAGAGACGGGGTTTCACCATGTTGGCCAGGATGGTCTCAATTTCTTGACCTCGTGATCCGCCCACCTCAGCCTCCCAAAGTGCTGAGATTACAGGCGTGAGCCTCCGTGCCTGGCCTGCATTTAAACTTTTCTAAAATGTCAAATTAGCATATTCTTTCCTCAGTGTAAAGTTTTTAAAAGCTTTAATCTGCCTTTATTAATTACCCTTTAAAAAATATATTTAAATGCTAGGAAAAGTTAACTTTATTCTCTACTCACAAATTTCTTTTTACAGATAAATGTGGTTATATACATTGTTTAAAAACACTTTTCTACTAATGACACTTCATGTGTAGATCTACACAAATGCTGTTT